CCAAAAATGGAAAGATTTCATCTTTTTAGTGTAACAATGGAAAGACAAAGGAAGGGATCCTATCCAAATCCCTACAACAATAACAAATCCTTTTTCATCCTGAGGAGTTATTAATTACTATTTCCATTATTCATACTCACCCCAACATTAAGTTCCTTGGGACCCACCAAATCAATAGTTTCCTTGAGGATAAATTTTCCATTGGTGCAATTTCTCCAAATTAAAATCTTCCCCTACTCGACTTAACGGCCTAATTCCAATGTTTTTTTTATTTTCCTCATTAACTCCTCCTTTATTGGGAAATTGGCATGGATAACCTAAAAAAGTTTGTTGTTTGCTCAACTGACCTCAATTAAAAAATTTGACTCAACTGATCCAATTTAATATTTTGAATTGAATATTGAAGGATTAAATTACTATTTTAGCCTCAATCTGGAATGCAAGTGAAGTCGCAAACGAATTAACACGAAAGGAAATTAATGGGCAGGTTCGACCGTGGTTTTGACCGTGGTTATTGTTAGTTTGACCTTGGTTAGTAGAAAAGTAACACGAATTTTTTGCTTCACCACGGCCATGAACTATAGGACCCCGGCCGTGGTGTTAATGAAAGGCAACTAATGGGCTAGGTTGGACCGTGGTTAAAATGAATGCTTGACCACGGTCATGAAAACTTGTACCATGACCGTGATGTTCATGAAAGACAATTAATGGGCTAGGTTGGACCGTGGTTAAATTGTTTGCTTGACCACGGTCATGAAAAAGAGTACCACGGCCGTTAATTTAATGACCATTATACCCCTCAGTTCAAATTCAAACTGTTCCTATCTCTCATTCCATCTTCTTTTCTGTTCTTCCGTTTTCGTTTTCGTTTTCGCTCATTTGATTTACACTCCCTCAATTTCCTCTGTTTCGCTCTCTACAAGTCAATATCGTGCTTCGAATCGCTTCCCATATCTGAAACTTCGAGGTTAGAACATTTTATTTCGTATTTGCGTCCCTTTTATGGCAAGAAAATAAGTTTTTTTTTACTTATATTTGCGATTTTTTTCGTTATTCGTCCATTAATTCCTTCCATGCCAGCCTATTTAGTATTTTCGGTACTTGTAGGGCTCGAAATCGACGTTTTTTGTTTATGATTTGCGTTTGTGGTTGAAATTTTGATTTAAGGCTTCGGGGTTTCTGTTTTCGGTTGTGTTTGGGTGGGTTTGTGTGGGCTGAACGTTTTCTGCTGCGTTTGTTATTGTTGTGTGGGTTTTCTACAGTGGAAGAAGGAAGGTTTAATGGGCGCGTTAACGGCCGTGGTTCAACGCAAATTTCATGGGCGTGGTTTTTGGCCGTGGTTAAAATGATTGCTTGACCACGACCATGAAAAAGAGTACCACGACATTGGTTCTGTCCAAATTCACGGTCGTACCACGGCCATGGTCGTGACCTTGAAATTTGACAGAATCAATATCCTTCTTGAATTTGCACTACCTAGGCCATGGTAAGCCCATGAATTTGGACAGATTATGTTGTTTTTGGGTTTTCATCTGTTCCTTTCTATGTTTGGGTTTTCATCCATTCCTTTCATCTGTTACTTTCTTTGTTTGGGTTCTGGCTTGCTGAATAATGTATTTGTATTTCAGGTTTATAAAATGGAGATGGTACCTAAGATTCCTCCCTCTAGCTATCGTTCAGCCAATTTGACCTGC